AGTCAGGTTCTGCAAAAGGGGGTTGCGGGTGCGGGCGGGGAAGTCGGTGAGGAGGAGAAGCGAGTGTTGGAAGATGGCGACGAGGGGCTTTCGTTGGAAGTTGCTTCAGGGAAGAGGATTGTAAAAGGTGGGAGGTTGACGAAGCTGGTGGAAGTTATGACGTCGCATCTTGGAACAGGTGGGTGGCAAGCCCATATCCCAAATGTAGCTCGTTACATATCACTCAGTATTCCAATTATAATCAATAGACATCGACTTCATGGCTGCATTTGTCATCACTCATCATTCCTTCACTACGTCACTGGAAATGGTGGACGCATTGATGAAACGGTACGACATCACTCCGCCTTACGGGCTCACCAAACAGAAGTTCGATATGTTCATCCAAAAGAAGGTGTTTCCGGTACGACAGAGGTATGGTTTCGCTCATTATATTGTTACTTCAACCTGTTTCGTAATCCTTTTCTATACGCGTCTTCAGAGTTTGTCAAGTGCTAAGGTACTGGATGGATCATCATTTCGAAGAGGACTTCTCAAGCCACCAGCCGTTACTTTTGAAAGTGCAAGACTTTCTGCAGCGCAAAGTTGACGACCCTGCGATGCGAACACAACTACTGAACATGTTGACGGATAAGGTATATATCAACATTATTTTTTGCATACTTGCCTATCATCGACAGTAACTCATTACGTTTTCCACAATCATCAACAGTTGGAACATCCTTATCATGGGCCACCAGATCTTTTGCCGCCACCCTCCGACGCCTCGCCGCCCAAATCGTTGCTTCCCAAAGGCATATCCGACCTCTATGCGCACCTCACGTCCGACGAGCGGGCTTTTTTTGACATAGATCCTTTGGAGATGGCACGGCAACTCACACTGGTGGAATTCGAGCATTTCCGGAACGTAACGCCTGTAGAATGCACGGATCAGATATGGGGAGACAAGCGCAAGAAAGAAGCTGCGGCTTTGGGGATCCCAATTTGGACTGGAGTGGGACATGCAACGGCGTTGGAAGAGATGATCAAGCATACTAACATCGTAAGTGAGCTTGTCACACTTATGAATTTGAATGTCAGCTGCAACTGACGATCTGCATATTGCGAACAGCTCACGAGTTGGATATCAACCAATATAGTCAAATGGGATACGCTGAAAGCTAGAGTTTCTGCCCTGAAGTATTTCTGCCAATTCGCTGTGGTGAGGGCTCACAATCAATTCCTGTGATATAGCGCCGCCTTTTTGATCTAATCATTCTCATCTTTGATGATCAGCATTGCCGCGAATTGAACAACTTCAACGGGATCACAGCTGTCAACGCCGCCATGTCTACCGCTGCGGTGAATCGCCTCCACAAAACTTGGGAGGTAAGAATACATATATTCTTTTACATTGTTCACGCTGCATGCTTAGAACCATCCCCAGGCATTCATCGACAAACACCCCAAAATACACGAGGCGTACGAGGAAGTGGCAGATGTCGTCACTCCCAAAGGCCAGTATGCGAACTACCGGAAAGTTCTAAAAGACCTTCAACCACCAGCTATTCCCTTTTTAGGTTCGTCTCCCCAATCAATGAGGAATTAACATTTACATTACTATGTTTACTCACCAACTGTACTGCTCATACACAGGCGTCTATCTCACGGACTTGACGTTCATTGAACTCGGCAACCCAGATTTCTTGCCAGACTCGCATTTCATAAACTTTGAAAAACGTCGCAAGGTTTATACGGTCATTAAAGACATCCAATCTTTCCAGCGGACGGCATACAGCATTACCCCTGTGCAGGGTATTTTGGACTTTTATCAGGGCTTGAGGATGGATCAACTCAAAGATGCGGATGCACTTTATGACTTGAGTTTGGTGGTGGAGCCGAGGGAGGAGAGTGATGATGAGGATGATATGTAGAAAAGAGCATCATTGGGACTAGGAGCAGAGTCGGATCAAAAGGGGTACCATCTAACGAGGACGACATGGGTATGTACTAGCACATCATCATTCTGAGTAATGTATATATTAGTGTGGGACTTGAGGAGCTCGCGACTTCAGAGTTCTTCAATTGAGTTTCTCATAATGGTATTGATTTTGGAGCTTCGAGCACAACGGATGGAACTGATACAACATTGAATGTTGAAACTCTTCGCTGCTGGAAACAGTGGGGGCCTGCGCCCTTCAATCAAAACGGGGAAGGAACATTTTTCTGTTCATACATAAAGTCTACAAATACTCACGGTGACACCAAACTTCGTACGCCAGGGTCCTTTGCACAATCCGAAGATCCGCGTACCTTCAGAACGACGCAATAGAATGCAACAACATGTTAGTCTTTGTTAGTAAACAAATGGTTGTTCTATCTTTCAATCGAGATGAATGTAGCATCACGCATTCGCTAAGAATTACCTGAAGAATTCTCCGAAGCTTTGATGCTACTCATCCGGCCACCGCGCAATCATCGACTACAACATTTCAACCTTGACTACCTTAGTTACCTTGCAGCATCTTCTTAGCTCAACATGGATGTGATGGGCTTCAGAAGTTTTGTCAGAAAGACAGCACCCCTCTCTTCCGAGCATTTGGCACTTTTGGGTTGAGCTTTACGCTAATACATGCACATTATTGTTTGATACGGACTTTACGGTGCTGCAGATGCATTCCAAGCTCTTCATTATGAAGGGATTCTAATCAACGACGAACTCTGTTGATTAACATCGTTCGTCGAAGCTTTGACTGCCAAAGATGCGGATGTACAATGAATCTCGCATATCAGCGCCCTACCTGCCATGGGCTCTATTCTGAATTTGAAGCGCCAAGAGACTGCCAAGGGCTTGAAAGTGGAAGATACCTAAAAGGACCAGTCAGCAGGACGGGTACTAGTTGGTCTCTAACGGCGAGTGCCTGATTCATCGTCGGAAGCTATATGAGCACCAGTATTTCTCAAATGCCTAACCGACTTTCCCAAAATAAAACGTGTAGGCATCGGTCGAACTGGTCGACAGTTCAAAGGAAGTGGATTCTTTCGCTTTTGGTTGAAAGCTTGCCACCGGCAGGAATCTTGGTCAGCACCATCTTTCAAGATAACACTTTTAGTGGCACAAATGACGGGGCAGCGTCTCCCACTCATTTGCCACCTGGCGTGTGGATGATGGATGTTCCCAACCGTGAGGGTTCACTGCTTTGGGAAACGATCTCGCTTCCCCCCAACTTCATGTGAAAGATGTTTATAAAAAAGTGTAAAAATGTGATCATTTCCATGGCATCTTCCAAAACCGTAAACACATCCGTTCTTCTCTCCCATTCACATTTGTTCCACTATCCTCACGTCCCCCTGGGTTTTTGCCAATAGCCGAAGCCATCTCCCATTTCCTGATCCCTCTACCTCGACCGTGTTCGCATATACTTTTCGGACTATCGGCACTACACAAGATCAACTTTCCAACTCAGCTTCTAAATAGCCACCAATCATGTCCATCGATCAGATTGAACGCGACAAGCTTTGACTGGATATCCAGTATCGATTTGCTTATGTCGCGAAGTTCATTGGTATGAATTCCATCGCCAGCGTCTCTCAAAGATTAGCAACAATCCCACTGCTTAAATGAACTGGCCTCTTCTTATCCGCCTTGCAGAATTCGGAGAGTTGGATATTGAGGCTCTGCACGCCTTGGCCCGCTAGTCTTGCCATTCGTTGCAACCATACTCGACAAGGTCTACAAAAGCTCTTCCAATGTGATATCACCAAGAGCGTTTTCACGGAAAGAGATGAGGGCTACAAAGGCGACGTCGCAGCGGATTTAGCGTCGCTCACATTGGAGGATGAACAAATCAAGTTCAGGAAGGATTTCTAAAAGAAGTATGTGCTCGTGGAGCCCCTGAAGTATGTAACAGCAAACTGATAACTAAGGCGTCACTTGCGATTCCCCATATTATTAGCTATCTTGTTAAACTTGTAACGGGCAAATACAACGACGCGTTTATTACATACCTTGATTGTGAGTATCGGGCATGCAATTGAGCAACCACCACTGTACTACGGGCCAGATCTTTACCGCCCTTCTTACGCACCACCCAGACGTCGGTCGCATTCACACCACAACAGTATTCAAGAAGTCCAAAATCAACGTCGAGTACATCCACATCAACGCCCTCTTTGGCTATCCTCACGGCTTCCTTGCCACCGCCATTGACTCCCACCCAGACCTCCAAGAAGGTGACGCAGCAAAGTTGAGAGTTCGGGTGCTAGCAGCGTCCTCTAAGCTGCTTAGGATTCAAAATAACTTGTTTGCAAAGTACTATGTGAAGGAGGGGGGGAGCTCTTGATGGCCAAAGTGGAGGAAGACAAAGTGAAGGCCGCACCTGCACCACCGCTTAGCGAGAAGCCTTTCAAAGCGGCAGAGCGGAGCAAGTCACTGGTTGCCAGGATTTGCATGTCATGGTTTGGGGCCAAAAAAACTGAGGAATGAACCTGATATAGTGATAGTAAGGACCAACATCTCGTGGTTGATGCGAATAGTAAGGTCCATGACGGGACTGTATACTATTTTGTAATTTTCTTGCGCAATACAAGACGGCTAACTATGAGCTTATACCATTTGAATGTAGTATTTTGCAATGACCGAATCACTTTTGTCACTTTTCGTCGCTCGCAGCGGACTGGTTTTCGACGCGGGTCACTTCAGGGAGTTTGAACGCAGATACACAGCGTTGCAATTGTTGCTTCCCCATGTTTACTGAAAGCATACAAACATAGTCACTTAACCCAGATTGGCAGGGCTTATAAAAAACTCCGGAAGTTGTAGAAAATTTACGCATTTGGAAAGACTCGCCAGCAAGCTGCACCATGATCAACAAAACATTCTCATGTTCTCAAAGAACGAAAGGTGAATGGAAGGCAAGAAGCTGCTCCATACTTCAGCACGGTTTACCTATTTTACGCAAAGAAGAAAATTTCACTATGAAGAGGAGGCGAAAAAGTTTTTTGTATAGCGAAGAAAAAAGCGTCGGCAGCAGGGTTCGAACCTGCGAGGTCAAAGACCATTAGATTTCAAGTCTAACCCGGTGGACCACTACGGCATACCGACGAGTTGAAAATTTGACAAACATTTCGGTATATATTGCCAAAATTAACAATGCATGCGTTGTATGGAGATGATGGGGTTTTGTCTCGAGGTTTGAAACCAAACCCGGTGGACCACTACGGCATACCGACATCTGATCGGGAGGATCACTACGCCGTAGTGACGCGTCGAAATTTGGGGTGGATGGTGTTTAGTCCCGAGGTCCGAAGTCTAACCCGGTGGACCACTACGGCATACTGACTGCGTGTTGAACTTTGGGCACATTTTCGAAGATCATAGTAAAAAACCACTGCAACCAGCAACGGAAGGTCGAAGGCCGTTGGACCATTACGGCATACTCACATAAGTTGAACTTATCAAAGGTTTGAGTTCAAATAGTAACAAACGGCAAGGGACGTTATTTCCACCAAATACATGCAGTTACCAATGATTTCATTGCCCCATCCGTGCAACTTGTGAGTTCACTTTGCGGCACTGGACTTGCGTGCGGCAGAAGTGGAGGGAGTGGAGTTGCGGGCAGTGGAAGGAGGGGAAACAGTAGAAGACGTTGTACGTGGTTGTCAAGAACCCACCAATGCGTGGGCTGGGTAGGTACGCCTAAACTTAGAGACTTCAATCGCCTCTACAGGCCACACTAACTCCCCGAATACAGTCGCAACATGCACATCGGACTTTTTTATATTGACTTGCGCAACAGCAATGACTACTCCTTGCATCACAGCAAGAGCACTAAAGCTAAAAAAACTGCACCTATTTACAGAAGCTGCTTATTCGACCAGCAATCACCACAAAAAAAACCTTTCCCTCCCATCCACAACCGCTCATCCGATTCAGAGCTCCCTCAACCTCATTTCCGCTGCCAACCGCCGGAAGTTTTGGTCGAGCTTCTCGTTGAGAATGTAGACAGTCTTGCCCGCAGTCCCCTGCATCTCTTCCGTCCACGGAACCGCCTTGTCTTGGTAGACTTTGAAGACATCACCCCTTTGCCAGTTGATCGCTTCAATCACGTAGTCAGGGTGTCCCTCGTCTAGCAAGGAGGGAACTCGGACGAACACGGGCTCATCAGTCTGTTCAAACACAATGTGTCTGGTCGACGCTTCCATTTGACGTCGTTCGGCAGCGAGGTATTTCTTGACCTGCCATGGCATGGCGGCGCGCTCCATCCAGAACACGGGCACCTTGTCCTTTTGGCGAATGGGAGGGTGGACGCGTTCACGAACACATGCAAGCCAGTATTCGTCGTTTTGATCGTAGGGTGGGAGCACTCCGACAATGTCACCTGGATTGAGGAAATTGTTAGCATCATAAATCGGCACTATGTCATAAAAATTTGGTAATGAAACAACAGCACTATGTCATAAAATTTGGTGATAAAACACTAGCATTTATATATACTTGACCTTCTTGAAGACCTGAATGGTTTGTCTTCCGTTAGCATGAACTTGAGAGACAAAACATCATTGTGGACCCGGTCTCTTTGCAACTAACCGTCTGTCGTCGACGTCTTTCGCCCATCCTTTTTGGCAGTTCTCCTTCCGCTCGTGCTCGCGCGGCGGGGCTATAAGCAAGTGCGAACCTCAGTGAGCTTTTCTCAAACCGATGTTGAATGAGGACCCTTGCAGTCACTCACCACAAATGCATTTGTCTTTCCTTTGATCCCGCTCGACCCCTTGGTGCTTCCAGCGACACCATCGCTCGTCTGACGCTTTTTCATCGGTGGAGGTTGGACCGGTCCGCTACTATCGGAATCGTCGCTGTCAGAGTCAAGGATCGAGCCCTTGGCTGGTAAGCGGCTGTGGTGCTCCATGTCAGGTGGGAACGAAAAGCGGAAGCTGTTTGTTGTCTTGGAGGTTGTTACAAGCACTAAAGCTGTCTTTTCTGGGTATAGTATTTCCGCTGTGTGGGAAAGTCAGGATTGTGCGATGAGATGGCGATCGTGGGAAAGGAGTTGGAACAGGGTGGGGAAGGCTATTGGCACGGTTGTTTGCATGTGACAGCCTGAATTTGAAATGAACAGCCCAGACCCTCCTGACCCTCCGTGCCTCCTCCGATCTGAGACCTCCGCCGCCATGTGGCGCATGGGACCCGTTTCTCTTGCCAAAATGAAAATTCCATTTGCGAAATATTTATCTATAACGTCGGCAAAAGAGTGACGACATGCCGGCGATATGATGATATCGAACCCAATTGAATATCACCAACTGACGTTGAGCAATGATGTGTTGAAGGATTACTTTATCATCGTATCTCACCCTGCATTTTTTGTCAACATTCTGATTTTGGTTTGTGTAAGGACTCACAGCGGGGACACGCGGGTTTGACCTTGCACCAAGATGCGCCAAAACGAAAAAGTCCCATGCATAATTGCATCTCCACCTACTCGTTAGATGTTACACACTAGTGTCATGATACTGTTCACAGAGAATATGATGAGATCTTCCGCCAGGAGGCATGTCTCTGCAAAAGCGTGCTTGTCGGGCTGAAAACCGCAGACGAACATGTGGATCCATTTGAGCGTGGTTTTTGCTCGTGACTTCCTGAAAGACGCGGACAAGGCACCCGGAGGTGGAAAACTTTGGGAAGATCGCCTGATTGGAAGTGGTCTCCGATTATGTCAGCCCATTCAGCCTACCGCTAATTCGATCAATGAGCTGCAATCGGAGCATTGACTACAATGAGTTTCCAGTCAATCAGAGTTCAAGTAAAGACTGCAGCTCATCCCCCAAAGCAGCATCTTCGCTCTTCCATTGCACCTTCCATTGCTAAAAGGAAACGGTTGGGAAGGTCCTTTCACAGTTCCACCATGCAGTAAACGCAACACCAGAAATAACGGCATTATAGAAACGACAGGAAATCAACAATGTCCATGGACGCACGACGAAGGGCCGATATGGCGGCACTAAGATTGCAAAATCAAAGTTCCAATGCCCTGCATGGACCAAGACCACCATCTGCTTTCACAGGGTCGCTCTCAACAGGAGACCTCATGCTCCAAGGTCGCCGAAAAGAATTGCCTACAGTGCTAGCGCCAATAGCTCCCATTCCTCCACGCCAAGGGTCCCACTTATCGCGTTCTTCCGAACCTCTCAACTTCACTGCGGTTGATCTATCCTCTCTCGCCATCGTCAATGGAGCTGGTATCAGTGCGCCGCCACAGTCTCGGGCAGGGAGGGCGCCTCCCAGTCGCGCTTCAAGCGTGCAGAGTCGGCGAACCGTACAATCGCGAGCAGGGACCGAAGATGGTATCAGTGTTGCGGTTTGGAAGCCCGGAGGTGGACTGGGAAATCATGCACGTGATGTGTTTATGAAGAACCGTGAAAAGGCTAAAGCTGTTGCTGTCAAAGCTCGCTTTGAGACTTTCAGAAGGGGCGGACTGGAAGATGAAGAAGAGGAAGAGGAGGATCAGGAGGTGACCATTGAGGTTGAAGAAATGCGGGGTAGGAAGAGAAGCATCAGAGTGGGGTCTCTGGAAGATGTGCGCAAAATGAGCATCAAGTTGCATGATGGGTTATTGGACCGACTTGCTGAAAAGGTGGCGGTTCATGAAGAGTTGAGGAGGGAAGTTCCCGTGGGTAAGGCCTGTGCTCGCTTGCTCTTCGGCATACGTCGAACCCTTACATTGAAGCCACCGAGCAGTGCAACCTCAAGGCCAAGAAACAGACCCCTTTGATTTCATATCGGAGCTATCCGATGACCCGCTCAAACTTCCACACCGACCTATTGCAGAGGATTTTGAACAGCCAAAAGCTGTCATAGGGTAAATCCGTGATAACATAACTTGTTGCTCAACATGGAAACGTCTGACACTTGGAGCACATCTGCAGATCCGTAATGCTTTATGCACCAGCAGCTGCACGGGTTCCCCTCCGGCCAATCGAGTCCCAAGCTGCAGCTCAAGGTCATGCCATCAAATTGATGCAGCCTCCAATCGGGAAGGAGTTTTCGGTCTATGATCTGGTGCTGTCGGAAGGTGGAGGTACGGGCCACCAAGAGAACGCTCAAACGAGGAAACATACTGACTGAAATCCCGATATTAGGGACCGAGCGGCAACACACTCTGAAGACAGTGTTCCTCCGCGGTACGTGGGTGCACAATGTGGAAATATGCATATGTTATTCTGCTATTTTTGCATGATTGTTGACTTTCCCACTTTCGCTCAGACTTCGCATTCATCGAAAGCCGGCACGATCACAACATGTCAAAAGCACGACTTGAACATGTCCGAAGCATCGACGCTATAGCCGTAAATTCATCGAAAAGGACCTTGTTATCAGAACGAGAGGCAGCAAAGCTTTCCTGGCACCTTTTCGCGTATCTCCGGAGTTTGACGGAACCCGTCATCATGGAGGCAGAGGCGGAAGCTTTGATGAGCTGTGTGGGTAGGCACTTGTCGATATGCGATATTCCAATGCATTTCGGCTGGGTGGATCGATTTGACTTACATTGAGCACAGAAAGTGATGCGCTGAATGATGATGCAAGAATAGCAAGCTGTAAACGTTTGATGGAGGGACAAGATAGGAATCAATACTTGTTTGTGAAAGCTATCATTGGGCATATAAGAAGGTAAGGGGATCTTTCAGTGACTTTCGGTACCAAATGATTGCATCTCACCGCTCGACGCAGAATATCCGAACTATCCACTACATACATCAAAACCGCTCTCTGCTCCGTGTTCGATTCTGTGTTCATCAGAGTGACCAGAAAGGTACCAACGCCCACTCCCACGCCGAAAGTGGAACAACCGCCGACAATCATAACTCCCACAGTCACCACCACCCCACCCGCAAAAGCTTCTCCACCAATCGTGAATGCCCATCACAACACCGAACCAACGCTGCAAATACCAAGCATCCAAGACCGCCGAAAATCAACCGAACTTCCAGCACTCCGACCAATACCAGGTCTACGCCTCCACATCGACCCAGCAAAACTCCACAGAACAGATTGGGACTCCCCAACCACAACCGCAGCCTCCACTCCCCTAGCCTTTCCATCTCCCC